CTTTTTGGCACCTATTTTTGGCACGAGCTAGATACCACCACCTGCTTACCCATACCTATAAATATCCACCAACAGTAATCACAATTCACACAACATTCAGCCTTGATAATGGATGCAGAACGCATTCGAAACGTGTCGGCAAACTCATCACTAGCTACAACTTTTACCCGTTGTTCTAACAACGTTAAGACGGCTTATCGACTTCTTGAGAAGAATTCTAAGAAGAAAGTAAACCTACAGACATCGGTCTTGTTTAACAAAATATATATATATATTTTTTTTTTTTTTATATTATTTATATTACATTTCTTTTTGGCGATTGTCTTTGCCAATTCAAACAGTAATTAGGCCAGAATGGACTGGTGTTAACACAGCCTAAAATTATCTCACTAAGCCTACCTCATCTTGGTTCACAAAAACATTTCTTATCATACTGCAGCATCAGCATTTAAATGAAGTATAAAATGATAAAACAAGCTTTAAAAAAATAGGATTACAATTGTAACAGAAGATATTTACAAACATATTTTCTTCTAGCAACATATCACCACTCTAAACTTTTATTACTTTGTTCCAATCTCTGTACAAGTACCCACTCAACTGAAAGTCAAGTTGGGATAAACAGTTGAAAAGAATGGAAAAGAGCTTTCTCTACATGTTTACTTTAGTAATATATGACATCTCAAAGCTGAGATACAGGCAATTACATCAAAAAGCAATGATCAAGGATGAAAAACTGATTAGCTAATAACCAATAAAACCACACTTGCCTTGAAGTTACAAGTCTCAAATTAACACTTTGGTTCAAAACAATTTATCTTTCATCCTAGAGACTATGAGTGCTGTATTATGCTCATGTAAAATTCAGGAAATTCACAAACTAATCTAAAACCAAAATTTGCTAATTTTTACAATTTGATGGAAAAAAAATAAAAAAATATAAAGGAAAATAGCAATAAGTTTATTATCTATATTTTTTAAATTTAAAGATGCAATTTTACTCTCAAGGGAGGATGCACTTACATGAGTGATATACAGTAAAATATGGTAATATAATTAGAGGGTTGAAAAGACTTCCTAATGAAATAAAGAGACTTTCAGATTTGGCTACCGAGAAGAGAAACACCACTTTGTTCACACAGGACAAATTGTTTTTATTATCAAACACAACAAAAACAGTTATGCTGAATAAATTGTAGGTAGTTCCTCAACAATTGAATATTTTGTCTGGCTCTGAACTGGTGCAAAATTGTGCTCTACTTGAATATCACTTAAAGCAGATTTGCATAAGTTAAGTTTATGCTAAGTCTAGCCAGCTAGTTAATAAACTATTACTGTTAGAATAATTTCCTCAGTCAAGAGAAACATTTCTATCTAAAAAACTTAGAAATCTAAAAACAAATTGCAAACATATCTCTCCTAATGCTACAAAACTTGGGTTTGAACACACCAAGTGCACAGAAACTCTCGGAGATCTCCATCTCAAGTCACAGTCTGATCAATGGTCATTCAGCTCACCTGCTTTAACAGTGTTTTATGTATACATAGCAAGTTCAACTCTGGTTATTCCTACAAAATTTCAGTAGATGTACACATGTGCATCTATATAATTGTTAACACACTCACTTGTGGCATATAGATTAAGGTCAGATATACAGGTTTCACATTTACATGTTAGTTTGTTCAAAAATCATAATATACTTTTTATGTCTCAAATTAAGTGTAGCAGTTCTTTTATACAACTATTATATCTCAGAACTAGAGAATGGCTGTGAACAGGAACAGTAAAATGAGAAACATAATTCTTTTTTTCTTCATTCAACATATGTATATGAAGTTTTTATTCAATTCACAATTTCACACTACAGAAAACTTTGCCCCTCCCTGAAAAAATTTCTGATGCCCATGGATCTGCCTAAGTCAAGAAAAGCATATTGCTCCAGTACCATTATTTCCATTAAGAGAAACTCATTCTATGTGATATTGATAAACAGACAGCATTTTTTGTTCCTTTTTTTTTTTTTTTATAAGTACTATTTCTGAATTTTTTTCATATTACCCACCTGTTATGCCAAAAGGTGTAAAGAGCTTATGTATTAAAATATGGGTGAGTTGTCATGTCTTGAGTTGCAACTCAAAGACAATTAATAGAGTAGTGCACCTTGAGTATTATAGGTAGCATTTGATGAAGCCATTTTGTGTTGCAAAATTATTATGTACAAAAGAGGTAGGGGTCAATGGTTAACTCCTGCCAGTAGAGGTAAGAAGTATACTCTAGAGATTTAAATAAAATGCATAACAGAAAATTAAAAATGAAGAACCTGAGTTGGCATATTTTTTCTGAAAACATTGTTTCTGCAGTACAACAAAATATATGCAGTTTTGTTGTTAGGAGAAAAAAGGGAAAAATTTGGTATTGCTGTTCTCCAATCATGTAACAACCAGTTGCTATCTATGTTGAGCATAATAAAATTCCAGATATGAATTTTATTTTCATGACTACTAAAATGTATAAATTTAAATTTGTAGATAAAAAAAAATATAACAAACTTTATGTTGTATTTGTAAGAATGGGTTTATACTATATACTTACATTCCCTCTAAAACAGTGATATACTTCTATAAACATTTTCTAGGTACTGCAAGAATGTATTGATTCTTTATATTAACACTTCTTGTGTTATTTTCTTTCTCTAGATATTACATGTACAGCAGAATTAATGTCCATTAATTGGGATATAAATCATTATTTGTACGTGCATTTGACTACAGACAATCTTTAACTCATCAAGATGCTTGACACAGAGAGCCAGTTCATAGTATAATGCCCTCTATGCTAATGAACTTAAAAAATACAAAAACAACAGGAAAAATTCATGTGTCTTGAAATTTCTTAATGAAATTAATCACCAGCAGAAAGTTTTGTTTAAATCAAATTTTTTGATTAAAATAATTTGAATTTAATTTGTTAATAAGATAGTTTAACATAAAGTAAAGATATTTATTGACAAACTGTGGTAAAGTAAAACATAATTCCACTAGATTTTAATTATTTTTCTTACATTATTAAACTTTGAAGAATTTAGTAAAATCTGACAATTGAATGGTTAGTAAAGTAATACTTCAGGAATGAAATCTCAGTAATATTAACATAAATTTACTGGAAATAACAATTAAAACATTAATACTAAATAAATAAGTTAATTTAGATTAGAGAATTAAAAAGTAACACAAAAGTTATATAAAGATTGAATTTAATGTTATGAAATCCATAACCTCAGCCTGTAATTGTTTTTTACATTTTTATTAATTTACAGAAATTGAGAGTTTACTTACAGTGAAGTGAATCACTAATCAGGAAGCTTGCATTACTGACATTATTACCTAACTTTTCATGCTGTATAACAATGTTAGAAATGCTTAGTTGATAGGTTTTGATGCAGTTAATGGACTATACATACAAGTTATTTAACATTTTGCTGACCTGATTAGGTTATAAATGTTCAGATATCACACATGGTATATTGCCTATTCATTTCTCACAATTCTCAAAGACTCTACAAACCCAGGGTTAAATTCTAAGGGGAATTCATTTAAAAATAACTAGCAAGTACTTATTACTTGGCCAGTTGTTGGCAGTCAATTAATCAGTAATTGGCTGATTTTCATGTGGATACATTCCTACTGTTAGTAAATTTTATTCTCCTGAGTTACAGCCTTCAATAGAAAGATTAGTGGCTTATCACCTAGACTCCCAGTAATGTTAAATGTGGCCTATTGGCTAGTGTTGGCCGTGGAGCTAAGGTTCCAAGGTTTGTGTCCAATTACCGTCACTTGAGGTGCAAAATAAGAATGATTATTAAATTCCATTATTTGGTCTGGTAACAGTAGCCCAATAATTGATTGTGATTGGTATTGACTAGCTGCCTTCCCTCTATCACTCACAATTATTTATGGCTAACTCCAATAGCCTTTGAGTATACTAGAATGTTTACATATATAGGAAGCTAATTGCTAGTAAAAATTTAATGAGGTTATTTGCAATTACTGATAGAATAAAAACTACACTTCTATTTTTAGTGTTGTAATTTACAGTGATACTGTTATGTGAGGGAGGTCCTTTTGTGTGTGTCTTAAACATATCTTGCCATTAACTCGTTATATTGTTTTGGTGCTTTACATTGATACATATAACATTACTAGCTTTGCAGTCTTATGAGCACTCTTTCATTTATATTTATTTGAATATTTCAGGAAAAATCCTACTGAGTAACTACCCGGAGCTACAGAATTTTTGGGATCATTGTTGTGCAAGACAAGAAATGTTATGTTCGAGTGTCGAGCAGGTTTTACCTCTTTTGACCAGTTTCTTAAATGACATATTTCAGAAAAAAACTCGTCAAACCTGCACCAAAGGTATTTTTTTCATTTAATAAGTAGGTTTGTAAAGTGTTGACAAATCAGTGGAATTTTTGTTATGTTATTAAACCACACAGAATTTCATATAGATTTTCATGAAATAAACAATACACTAGAATATTTTAACTTTGTTTTAATATAAACTTCAATAATGAAAGAAAAATGGCAACATTCTTAAAACAAGGCATTTACTCTAATGATTTTTGCTTATGTTAGATTGTTCTTTTTATAACAGTTGTGATTATATTTTATTAACCCTTTCCATAGGGGTCACGGGCCACAGGCCATGTCATTGCATTTGTTGACTCGCATTCAGAATTTTATTGAACTACTATTTTATGAATTTATGTCAATAATTTTGGTATTAAACTGTAGATTATAATTCAAATCTTAATATTATACATTGTTTAATTTCTTAATTTAAAAGTAAATATTAAAAAAACACACCTAAACATTGATTTTTATTTTTATGTGTCATGTTGTATGTTGAATGCAGCATTGGTTCAAATTAGAAATTTGTTATGTTAAAATACAAAGTGTATAGTTTCATATGTATAAGGAACTCAAATTACTGATATTAACCAGCTAGAATATAAAATAAGAACCTCCTATTTTTTCTATTTGCTGAGATATTGTTCATGTACTGAATCAAAAACAGTGGCCCCGCTTACCTCTTTCCATTTTTGGAAATACTCTTTTATATACACTACTTCTCTCTATGACATGTTAATAACCAGTCAAAAGCTCATAATGCCTGCCTAGTGGCTTTCTCAGCCATTTTCAAGAACTAGGATATCACCTTGTTCTTTTGATACAAATCTTCATGCTGGTAAGGTGAGTCTTTAGTCTGCTCGAAATTTCATTTTTTTTTTTTACTAAAATACAGCATAATTACTAAGCTTGATAAATTATAGTAGAATTGTATGGAATCAGTATAGTAATTTATGATTTTTTGGTTATTTCAAAAATTTACTGATAATCTGCCAAATTTTGTGAATATATGTTTACAAATTTAAAAATTATAGCATCAAAACTATAACAAGCACAAAATGGTTATGAGGTCAGTTCCAGGGACTGTGACCATTTTTTAATAACAGTTAAGTATATTTTTCTTATAAGCTTCCTTAAAACAGTATGAAAAGAATTATTAATTTCAAGTAATGATGATATTCATATTGATGTACTGTATAGTTAGTTTTGTGTAATGATCTGGTAAACTGAACTTAATTGACATGTTATCAAAAATTGCAAAGTGAGGCTACCACCCTAGGGGGGTCTGGGGGCATCCTCCCACAGAAAATTTAAAAAATTGAGATCCAAGCTATGTGAAAAAAATGGCCAAAAATGTAAAATTTTATTTTTCTGTGACCTGACTGTTACATAATTGTTAGTATTTCATTAACAAGAATATCTAACAAAAGTTTCAATGACATCCATGTAAAAACAGGCAAAAAAAAGTGCTAAAAAATGTAAACTTTCATATATTTTATCTTCTGTAACCTTGACAAGTTCATTTCATGAAAGTAGATTGTCCAACTCAATCCTGGGTGGATGTAAATTGGCATATTGAGTTATAATTTCATCTGGGTTCACAGATTGACTATAATGTACATGGATTAAGCCAATGTTTGGAAGCCTTTGACATGTCATGCTAGCCCTACTGTATGTATTTAATCTCCTAAGGGTGCTAGCCCCTCTTTTGCACCCACAAGATGTGATAGGCAAGATACAACCAATTTTCAACAGTATGAAAATCTGGGGGAAAAACATTTTATCACAGCTTTTAATACTTTTGATAAAAGTGTCAGGAAGGTCTTCCAGTGGCATGTTTTTGAAATTGCCCTTCCATCTTGCTTACTCTTCAGTGAAAAGCTCAGGCTGTGTCAGGTCTTTGACATACGTATCTACAGTTTCTTATAGTGACCTTGCATTTAATGATCGAAACACAGCTGGCACCAGGCCCAACAACTTAGTGCATGAGACAGCTAATGCTATAAATTGAACAAAAGAAAATGTTTCTCAACAAGTGTTAAATACATGTAGCTGTATGATTTACAGTAACTGGACTACAACAAAGACAGTTTTAACAAATTGATTTCCAGACCCTTTCATTCTTTATTTTCACTATTTTCTATCTTATAATATAAAACAAAATCAATTTATAATGAAGTAACCTTGGTGCCCTTTGAAATTTAAAATTTTTTAATCTAGAATTGACTTAATTTACTGAAAAAACATTAAATGTCATTGAAGCTGTTCCTCTTACTACTTGTCAGAAATTGTATTTGATTAAAGCTATGAATACCTGTATTTATTTATATTTATTAGATACTCCAAGAAAATCCCTGCCTCTATTATCCAAATTAATGTAAAATAATAAGATATACATATTGTTATGACAGCGGAATTCGCGCGATGCTGGGAGCATGCGCACTGGAGTTTCTAGAAGGATCGTGACTTAGCGAGCAACCTCATAAATGTCCCAGCATTTGCTAGACGCCCTCTTTTTTAGTATATAAGCCGGAGATAGATTGAAGAGAGATAATCGAGTCAAGCGAGCAGTAGGCACCATAAATAAAGTGTGTGAATCGCTGTGAATTATAGTGTGTGTTTATAAAAGTAGTTAAGTTTAAAGTGACTGTGGAAATTAAGTGTATTACAAAGTTTGTACCGAGAAAAAATAAACTAGTTTTAATTAAGAAAGGACTTGTATCACTGAAATTTCTCGGAAAGAATTTTTAGGGGAAATTATCGAACAAGCAGATACGTAACAATATATATGTATGGCATCTGTATTTATGGTGAATAAACTGCTACTGCTACTAATACTACTTAAATAGTTACTACTCTACTACCACCACCAGCACTACTACTGCTACTAAAAAATTAAATAAAAAACCAAAACAACATAGATGTCATATATAAAAGACTGGACAAAGAAAAGCTGAATGTGCAGGAAGTGCTAATGGTATGGAACAAGGGAATATCTACTGGAGTAGAAGCTACTGAAGGAAGAGAAATCAGCAAGACAATAATTAGTACCACCATCTGTCGATTACACTGTATTTACACATAAAAATACCAATGTGTTCATTGCTTAATTCCATCCTGCATCAAACTAAAAATAAATTAAACAAAATAATGAAAATTGTGAAAAACATCTTCATAAAATTTAAACTCCATTTTATTTGATACACATATCCTACATACATTTAAAATTAAAGTTCATCAATAATTTTGTTATAGGCTGTTGTTTCTGTAACTTCTTAAACAAGCACATATGTAGTAGACCTATATCATCTTACAAGTTGATTTGTGCAAAAATATTTCACTTTTAGTTTGAGAATATGTAAATTAATACTGCTAACTTGAGGTCATTCTAATGTCTATTGTTTACAATTTAAATATTGAATTGAAAGCAATTAATATTATATCTGAAAAGAAAGAAAGTAGTCTTATACCTGAAAACTGCTCTTCAAGCTCACTTAAAATGTGGTCCACGAAAGGAATAGCAAAGTTCACAAAGTAGTATTTCAGGACCTTGTGATCACACTTTGGGCTCTCACACAAACAGTCAGATTCAGCACTGATGTTACTATGGTGTTGCTGTTTCTTTGCAATTCTGGGAATAGTGGTATTTTCACCAATCTGTCAAATATATTTTGTGATATTTTAAATTTAGTGCTCAGATATGCATTATAAACCAGTATTTATTTATATTAGTCTTAGTAGGTTAATATTACCTTCTTTTATATTGTCAAACATAATATTGCAAAGCTGGAAGTAAAATCAACAAATAACTAATACATATTTATACTATACCTTATTAATTTTAAAAGTCGTTAAAGCACACACTATTAAGACAGGGAAGCTACATAAGATACCTTAAGTTGTTTTTTTGTTTTTAATACCCGAGTTGCAATTCGTTAGGCATGAGTCAATCAAGCTCCAAACCTTACATCTATCTGCTGCTGTAAACTCTGGTATTGTTTCTTAACTGTAGACATCTAAAGGATATATTTCAATTTTAAACATAATGGTCATGAATATATTTGTGTAATCATATTTACAAATACAAATATTTCAAATACAAAATAATATATATATATATTTTATTATTAGTATTATATATACAGTGATCCCTCTTATAAGTAGAAACCCTTGCTGAGGAACAAGTGTCCACTTATACAAAGTAAAAATAAGTATATATGTAATGCACTGAAACGTGGCCACTTATAAGAGGGCCTACTGTATATCTATAATTAGACTTGCCAATTGAAGCACCTCTGATGTACAAGATTTAATTAATTATTATTTCAAAATCCTGGACAAGCACAGCAACAAATCAAGTGATGGTGATGGCATATTATGCTAAGCAGTGGACAGACAGAGCCTAAACAAGAGATGTTTTATATTTTTAGAAGTCACTTTGAACTTACTTTTGTGTAAGCATTGTAAACATCTCAAGTTGTTTCTTGCAGTTGATGGCTCAAACCATCTAATCCAGAAAGGCTCATATAGGTAACCAAGAATGTTAAAATGAAATCAAATAATGATATGCTTTGCAGGAGTCCATTTACTTCTCTTTTAGTGTCCCGCTGGTCATATGAGTTTAGGTCTAGGTCCTCAACCTTCTAGAGCTATAATCAAATAAAAGTATTCCTGGTAGAACTGCTTGTAGGCATCATGTCATGCTGCCCATCTTGTGACACACAAGTCAATTAGTGGTTTTCTCTTCTCTGCATATGAAACCTTCTGCTGAATGATAGTTTTCAGCAAACCTTCACTCTTTGGACTATAATTGAAAAAAACATTCACTGCTTTCATTTTATCTAAAGTGTTCCAGATGCATGGTAGCTGACATAAATGAACAATGACAAGGTTGAGCTCATGACTGCTACATGTGGTGTAGACTGCTTTTGGTGCATGATTTCTAACCACTGCTTGGACAGCAACTCTACTGCTACTTATGTTTTGTGCCCCATCATAACACTGCCCGCTCATCTCAACCAGTGGTATTTTCAGATGTTTTAACAGTTCTATGACCTTGTTCCCTATATCAGCTCCAGTTATTCTTTGTAGACTTACAAAACCGAAAAGGTCTTCATGAACATTCAAATCTTCAGTTACATATTGAATACAAACTGGCATATAGTCCCCCATTGTGCATGGTTACTTGCACAATGACAGAGATTAGTTCATTTTGTATTCTGACAGATGTGTATTTGGCATTTTGTTGCAACGATGAAGATAAGAGTTTTTACAAAATACTATCTGACTCAGCTAGGAGCTTCAGTATGGCCAAAAATTTCCTGGGATTTTTATCATCTATGAGGCACTCATCATCTCCCCATAAAGCTATACCCTGCTTTGTACAAAAAAGTACTGCTTGTGTAATCATTTTGACAATTAGTGTATTTTCTGTGCAACTATTTGCACGTTCACTATCAAAATGGTGTGAAAGTGTACTTTGTGGGTTTTCGTGTCTTAACTGGAATACAGCAGTCTTGCATGACCAAAAAGTGATACGTATTAGAAGCATGTTCCTAACTTTTTCTCAAAGCTTATACCACTTTGTGAATGGGGCATTGACAAATACACCAAGCTTTTCTCTGCCTTTTGCAAAGAGTGCATAATGTATGCAGAAAAGGCCATCTAGATGAGGACTGTACACAAGTAATTCATATTTGTTTAAACTATTATAAGAAAGCAATTGGTAGAAACTATGCATGGGAAAAATAATATGTTGGAGATGGCTTAAATTCATTTGCTGCCAAGTTGTCCTACTGAGTTGAAGACAGGTTTTGTACAGCTTTGCAACATTCTAATCCTATAAGTGTACTTTTCAAAATAAGTCCAGTGTCATTAAAAAGCTCTTCAGTAGTTGGGATTATTGAAAGTGGATCATCAGTTGTTGAAAGAGATGGTTGTTGAAAAGTACTTGAAGAGTGCAATCCAAGAAGGGGGGGGGGGGTTCACACCCCTGGGAACTGGCCTGTATTATAAGTATATATATCCTAAAGTATTTAATATGTAAGATTTATTAACCCAGATTTCTGTTACCACTAGCTTGTAAACATGCGTAACATAAAATATTCAGTGAGATACAAGAGGGAAAGGTAGAAAAAGAAACTTCCAAAAATTGTGAAGTTTCATTTGCAAGTTATAGATTCTTCTTACTCATAGGAATTTGATTTATAATTTACTCTCTGCCAACACTCGTCCTTCTAAAGAACAAAGATAATCTATATCTATTTCTTTGGAAGAGTATGAGGATAAAAAATATATATATATATTGTAAACCTAGTATCATGGTTGGGATTTGGACCAGTTTCCACATTATGATACCTGTATAGATGTCCAACCATCTATGCTTATAAAACTTTATACAGGTACACCACTGATTTTCTGGCACCCTTGGTTCCAGAGCCTTTCTGGATTATCTGTTTTGCCGGACCAACAGAGGTCATGTAATAATAATTCCACAATACACCTCTGACCTATTAATTATACCCCTCCCATGTCTCTAAAGCACCATGGACTGCAAGAAACTTAAATAAAACATATATTAAATGTAAATTAAATGATTAATGAAATACATTAGTACAGGTATAAATGATACAGGTTTATTAGTACAGTATAAATGAAAAAGGTTTATTAATTACTGTACTCACAAAGAATGTTGCAATAGTACCGCTTCCAAAGTGGTTAATTTCAGAATTTTACTGTTATTATTATTGTTATTTTCAAGTATGTAATATATTTTGAATTTTCATACACTATTATCAGCATTCTGTGAAGAATTGAAGAAAAAAATTTAAACTAAATATTTGTATCTTGTTAAACTACATATTCTTGGAGACATTCATGAAAAAATTCAAGCAGTTTGATACATTAGTTCCATATTTATAAGAACATTTCATACCTACTTAAAATGTAAGTAGCCCATCCCAAAAGAGCGTGCACCACACACACAATGCCATCTATGGCTGCCCAGTGAAGTAATCTGGTAGTTGCAGGAATTTCAAGTGCGCTCTCATAATTTTGTTTGGAGTAAAGGAAGTGCCAGACCATCAGTTGTGGGAAAATCAGTGGTGTACTGTATTATTCCAAAAGAGAATACATATATTTTATAAATATCGTATGTGATAGAGTTAACCATCTTCTGTCTTTTTTAAATATCAGTGACAGTAGAAAAAATTAATTGTACAGTTTGCTCTAATTGCATTCTGTATTATGTATAGTGGAAGATATTTCTATTTCTGTTCTAAATATCTCACAAAGGCACAATATGTGTTCATTAAATGAAGCCAAACAAAAGTGTAAAGACTATGTATACATCTACATAGACACTTATATTTGATAATGTGTAAGCTGTTGGGAAACTTGATTTAATCTGTTTTTCTAAGTTCTAAAGAACTTGTTTCTTTATTTTCTCTCACAGTTACAGTTGCAAGGCATTTCATCTGCAAAGTGCTAGATGTGACCAGATGCGAACCAGACAATACAGTGACAATACTTCAGCTTCAACAGTATTATGAGAACCAGAATTGTTCTCTGATAAATCTTTTCAACAGACTTACAGATGAAGGTAAGGACACTATTGAAACTTCTACAAAATGTTTTTCATAGTTATCTTGTGACAGTATAGTTTTACTACATAATACTGTCTTGCAAGTGCACTGTATGCAGTCTTAAAACATAAATTTAACTTTAGTCATTCTAGCCATAATTATTTGTCATTAAAAACAGTACTATTATAAGGTAAACTGAAATTTCACAGTAAGTAAAATACTCTTTTAAAAAATATTTAACACAGAACTCCTAAATGCAATTTGATAGATGTTGGTTTAACTATTTTAACTATTATACTATTTTGAATACTAAGAGATCAAATTCTCAAGTTTTTGTTTTTATTAGTGATATATATATATATATATATATATATAATGATTTCAGCTATGAGAATTTTAAGTTGTAAGAAAACAGAAATTATAGTGACTAAGTTATTTTTAAGCCTGAGATTAAATTACAAAATATAACCATTATGATTGTATCTGAATAACACTAGACAATTTATATTCTTTTATTGTAAATTTGATTCTTAAGCATAAGTGCTTGAGACCATTTTATTAGACTTCAGATGTTGGAAATTGAAATAGATTAAAAAGGATGTAGGATGTTGGCACATGGTTTGCATGATAGTATGTGTCTAATGATGCTTTTAATCAAGTTACTCAGATAGAAATACTTCACTCTGGAGATGAAACTGCAATAAAAAAACTTCTTTCAACCTGCAAAAAATGTATACCAGCTTCTGGTACTTTACTTGCTATAGGATGGTTGCTAACACTGATCGATTCTGGATTACCAAAACTTGCTGGTAAGTTTTTTGTGAGGTTGATAGTTCTAGTTACAAAAATCATCTTGCACTCATAAATATAATGTCATTTGTAGGTTCTGGTACTTGATAGTCATAATTCTCATAAACACAAGAATTTAGATTATGTTATTACTTAATAGAAGATGATAAGAATAATATTAGTTGTACTACTCAGTACTTTTTTACCAAAACCAACAAGAATGATGCCAGTTGTTCCGATACGATTGTACCTCCTTCACACAAAGCTATCTCAATCTTCTTTCTGCCCTCTAAACATTGTTAAAAAAATTTTGTACTCACTATCAATTTTGCACCATTTTTGAACATGTGCAATAGTACTGTACCACTTATTTTGGCACAGCTAGCTCCCTCTGCTATACCCACTAAATCCTTGCTTTCTCAATTGGCACAGCTTTGATTAGATGTGTGTTTTTTTGCATGTGACTACTTTTTATGATTGTGCTTATTTGCCATTTCAGTTATTTTTTCAACAGTTTTCTTTGACTGTTGGCATTCATATATATATATTTATACATATATATTTGCATTTGTTTCTTGTTATTGAATTATATGAGAATTTCGTATGAAGTCATGATTCAATGTATTGACAATGGTAGTTCCTGTTACAATCAACAACACTACTGATACGGCTTCCAAGGAATTGGGTTCTATTTTATCAGCAGGAGAGGTACAAGCCTTAATCATGTTTGTCCTGACAGTGTTGCTGATGAAGAATACAATCAAGGAGAAGACAATTTGGACTCTCTTTTTTGGTCTGTCACTCTACATCTCTTCAGGAGATTTCACCTTGGCTTTGTTGAACACTTTCCATTTCTCCAAGTTTTGTAAGATTTTTTCTTCCCCCAGTAATTTTCCTCCTTTTGAGTCGTGCATCCTCCATGTTCTTTTGATTTGCCTAATTAGGATCTCAGTGTGGTCCCTTATGCCCTTTCTCATCTTCCCTTAGTACCTTTGTCTAAGTGTTTCATGTACCATCTTTCCCTCAAGACCCATTGCCTTTTCCTTCTTAATTGCGAACATCGTCAATCAGGTATTTATGCTGTTTACATTACTTGCATCCTCTACCATTCCTCTTATGTCATCCTATATCCTGACCAGTCCTTCCTCTCTAAAACCTATGCAGCCCATGAAGATATATTGGTTTTCACACCCATTTACTTACCTTCCATCTCCCATTCCAGTCCTGATTGGCTTCATTGTCTGGATTGCTCCTTATTGTGTTATGTGGCACATTCTACCTCTTTTTTGGGCTTCACTGATTTTTATTTCCTGAAACCCTTCTGTGTCCCATGATCTATCCCCTATCATGGTAACTGGTTGGGTTCATCAACTCGTTAGGTTGGCATATTCAGACTTATCCAAGGAAATTCGCTATCTCCAAAATGTTTCTTCTCTTCAGCTTCATCACATCACCATGTCTTATGCTGCTTGTCTTCACCATCCTTTGGAGGAGATTGCTCAGGCTGGAATGTGGACTGCTCTCAATAACTTTGTCGCTTATTATCTGCATGATCTGGCTGTATCTTTCTCAGGCAGATACGTCCTGTAGTGATTCTACACATGTGCATTGGCCTTTTATTGAGGTAAGTTTTATCACTTCCTTTAATTTATGCTTTTATTTTCAGCAACCCTAGTTTTTACCAGTGATAATGGGATCCCACTCTGTGGCAAGTGTTACTTGGTCAGGCATGCTTTGCTTCAAAACTTTACTATTTACTGATTACACTGTAATGCTCACTGTAGATATGGGATGTTCTGCAAGACCACCAGTGGCTTTCCCAGTGGTGTATGTATGTATATATATATATTTCTAGATATCAGTAAGTTTCATTCACTCAGTGGTAGACTATCACTTGTGGACTTATGAGTAAATCAGAAGGGGATTTCTACTTATCTCTTCTGACCCTTTGATTGAATAAATTGGGGTCAGTTTGCCTTTCAAAATACAGAATTGTGAACACTCATTGCACTTTCTGAGATATGACGTTCCTCCAGACTCCCCACCGCATTTCTTCCCCTCCCCCTTCTTTTTTTTTCCAGTGGACCATGGGATTCCTTACCACTTCTCAGTTCCTAATTGCTAGGGTGGTGGACCATGGAGGTTTCCTCCTGAGAGTTTAGAAATATAATTTACCATACATACTCATGCTTATACACTCATTGAGAAGAGGGCAAAGCTGGTTTCCGTCCTCTAATTTCAGTTGGAGCAGGTCCAGCATACACAGGATCCTCCTTGCAATACTGGGTTCAGGATGATACTGCCCTATTCATATAGTTGTGTGCAGTAGAGGCTCTTCTTCTCATTAATTCTGGTTGCAGGAGGTTCTTTCCCTACTTCTATTGTTGAATTTGGAGAACTTTGTTTGCCTCATAATACTGGCAACAGGATGTACGTACACTGTTCCTTTCATCCTCATAACTCCAGATGCAGGATGTCTCTTCCCTGAATTTATGGTTGAGTGACTTATGATTTCTGCTCGTAATTCTGGTTAGAGATATTACCCTGTTCTTACAGTTGAGTTAAGGCAATGCCACGGCCCCATAATGCCAGGTTCAGTATGTTGTACTTCTTGCTTCTACAGTGGTTTTGGGAGTTTTTCTAGTTTTGGCCACGAGCTAACTTCATCTTCATAATTTCAGTTGCTTGATGTATGACACTGTTTACCTATGGTTGATGTAACACAGTCCACATGCCCTAGTCACTATGTTTATGTTACAATATATTTGTTTTTATCTTTTTTGATCCTCATCCTCCTAATGCTGAGGACAAGTTATGGAACCTTGTCTGTCTGATTGAGGTTGTGTATGTACATAGTTCATTCAGTTTATATTTTACTATGGATTGCATCTCTCATACAAATTGCAAATGTGCATATCCTTTTTTCTGCTTGTATCAGATTCATTTCCTACTTCAAGCATGAAAAGCATCCCTGTTCCAGTACCCCACAGTGTGCTTCCTTTTAATCTCGTAGCACACCCATTCATTCTGGATTGTCACTTTCTTCTTGGTTTCTTAAACCAGCCCCATAACCTTTGCAGTGTGGGATTCTAGCTTTGTATGAGATGAAGTAAGACCATATCGGAAGTCAACATTTTATTACATTGAAAATGTATTTCCGATAAATACGTACCTCTTCTCTCACACTTCCTCCCCAATGCCAGTGTTCTTCTTTTAGAGCCTGCCAATTCTCAAAAGTGAGGATTGAGCTGAAATAGCAGAGGGAGCTAGCTGTGCCAACATAGGTGGCGCAATACTATTGTAGTACTTGTATTGTACTATTGTACTTTCTACATGTTCAAAAATGGTGTGAAATTGATAGGGTATATAGACTGGTTTGCTGAATGCAAAAATGTTTTAGCATTGCTTAGAGGGCAGAAATAAGATCAAGATAGCTGTGTGTGAGAAGGGTAAGTACCTATTGGAAATTCAAGTTCAGTGTAAGAAAATGTTAACTTTAAAGTTCTGTTATGTGTTCACATAATCACTAAATGATGGCACATTCAGTTTGCTGAAATGTACTAATAAGGTGATACATTTTACACCTTGTTAGCCAAACTGGGTGTAAAATATAATTTCTACTAGGTTCTGAATTATTTAATCTTAATTTTCATAATTCACGGGTTTTATTCAGCAAATTAAAAGTAACAGAAGTTCTTGACCCTTGATCAGTGTAGAATGACTTTTTAGTCACAAAATATTAAGATATATATATATATATAGAACCTGAACAGAGGAATGAGGAGCTGATATTTCCAAATCATCAATTTACACATCTAACTCTAACCTTAGCCACTATATGCTTAAGTACAACTTGTAATTTTGTCCAAAATGTAAATTAGGCTCACTTGAACAGAAAGTGTTTAGTTTTTGGAGCAAGACTAGATGAGCTATACTCAGTATCTAAAATATCAATCTGCTTGTTAAGCGTAACTCTTTACAACATTTTGCTGAACTCAAGACACTGTGAAAAATTAGAGCTTCTAGACAAGAAGGGTGTATGTGTTGATACAACCTATTGAACTGGGGAGGCAAAATCTTTCTCACTAAGCATTCCAAGAATCATTTATGAGTTTCAAAATGACATAGTATTTTTGAGAAATTAGAAACATTTTCTCTCCTAAAAGAGCAAGGAGTCTATCAAATTGTGCTGCTTGAACAAATTTCTTTGATGACTTTTTATCTAATGTAACTATTAATGACATACATGAAGTGTACAAAATGGAATAGTAACCAGGTCAGGATGTGGTACTATATTTACTGAACAATCCCGAAGTATTTCAGATACTTCATACTATTACTTTAAGGAAATGACTACTTATACATATTAGATACTAGCAGGCCTATTGGATACACTTCTAGACTTTAGAGAAGATAAGCATCTACAAAGCTAGTCATTAAAGAAAAATCACCATATATTATTAATGTAAATTGTAGCATCTCAATATACACATGTTCAGATGAACAAAGTTTCTAAATGCAGTAACAAAATAACAAGCTTCTTATTATTTTCACTGACACTGTAGTGACACAGCTAATCTTTTTCTGTTAGCAGAAGCATTCCTTTCCTTATGATCATTAAGATCAGAGCTTGACGTGTTATTAATTGTATATAATATCTGTACTTAAACTCAGGTTGGCTAAAATTGTATTTAAATAACGTGTTAGTTAAAATCAAAACTAGATGCATTAGAGAGATTATTACACCTATCTTCAAATATTGTGTACATTCTATTAAAATTAAGTGTGAGTTAGCTGCTCTAACTTTGTTTTAATTATATTTGATAATATATTAGAGCAGATTAGTAAGTTATGGTAAAACTTTAATCCTAAAACAAAGAAGTCATAAGATCTAATTGTAGATAAATTACAAAAGAAGAAACCTAATAACCACAACAATTTTGAAAGGTAGACTTTCATCCTTCAGGAGTAAAAGAATGAGTAGTTCAAAGGCTCGGTTATTGTTTTTTTTTATTTTTTGATGAATCTCTGGTAGTATTGCAATAAACTATGTAAATTTTTTTTTCTGTTTGATGCTTTATAGATGTATCATTTCTACTACAAATGAATTTCATTTAAGGGTCAGCTATTGTCTGTTATTTGATATTAAGTATTCATTTTCATTAATATCTGAAGGAAATGTATGATATTTCATGTGCTATAATCTGAATATATGTATATGTATTTTTAGAATCGTATTTAAAAGATACAGCTAAGAGTTCCTCAACACGAAAATTTGTAAGTTTTCTTCTTCTTTTTTTTCAACATAATAGAAAGATTCATTCAGTTTAATGGTTTACAATGTAATAGACTGTTTTAATTGATCTTATTTTGAATATTAAACATTTTAAAACATATGGAACATTATTTTTAAAAGTTAACTTATTAAATACATAAACAAAATGTCAACAAGAATACAGAGTTGAGAAAAAACAAGAAACTGTACATTTCTCAAATACATCATTTATTATGACCATGGTTTCACCAGTAAAGGCATCATTAGGTACAGATTGAAATGTTTTATAGCAGGGTTTATATATGTTTAAACAAAGAACTGGAAGTGACCTTAACATTCACCTTGAGACAGGTGGGGTAAGAAATGTGGAGGAGCTTAAGCTGGTTTGGTCGTTTAGAACTTTTTCTGGATTTGTTTTCAGACATCTATTTATTTCTAAAATTTCCAGACTGTATAGTTTTTTTACCTTTTTCATAAATATGTAAAGTTTTGCAGTTTTTTCCAGATTAAATTGGTGTTTAGTTTCAATAAGGTGGGATGCAAAGGTTGAATCCATTTCCCTTAATTTCCAGCTTCTAGAGTGTTCTTTGATTCTCATTTCTATGGAACATCCTGTTTGACATATATATATATACACTATCGCAGTCTTGACATGTTAATTGGTAAACACCACTGTTGCTGTACTTTTCAATTCTTTGTTGTTGCACAACATTTTTCACAGGTTGTTTTTACAGTAGAAGGCTGGTCTTAGATTTCTTTGTTAAGTGTGTTATATATTTGGTGAGAAGGTTTTCTAATGTAGCTCATCTTAAACCATTTCTTTTTGTTGTCATTTCGTACACTATGTGGGTATATTGATTTTGAATTTTTGGCTTTCAATTTTTTAAACAACAGTGTGTTAACTAACTTTGTTCTATAACCATTGTTAACAGCAATTTGTTATAGTTTTTAATTCAGTTTCATAATCTTCATATGACAAGGGTACAGTAATAAGTCTGTGTAACAAACTATGGAACACAGTAAGTTTGTGTGATAATCGGTGTCTTCCACTGTAAAAAACAACCTAGGAAATATGTTGTACAACAGCAAAGACAGAATTGAAAAGTACAGCAACAGTGTTGTTTACCAATTAACATGTCAAGACTGCGATACAATTGTCTTGTTTCTCCTCAATTTTATAATTATGGAGTTTCACCAAGTACCAACAGTTTCAAGTATCAATTATATGAATAAGAATAGGTTATTCATTTTAAGAAGTGTTGAAACTCAAGAATATTGTGAAGATGAGGATGGATGAAAGTATTTATGAAAGACTTCCTTTTTTTATAAGATATAATAAGCAGTAACTTTGATACTGCTATGAAAGTTTGTGTTGGATGATTTTTTTATTTTTCTAAGCAGTGTTGTAATTGTTTCAACTAGTTACTTAAGATATTAATTTCTAGTTATGCATTTTTATATATTTGTTAAGTAGGACTGACTAATTTAATTTATTAATCAATAACCTATTAGCAGCAATTATGTTAATTAGTGTCATGTAAGCTAACTGATTAATCAAAATTACAATTAAATTGAATAATGTTATGAAAATAATCAACTGATTGAAATTAGTGTTTGATTATTACTGTTTTCAATTATTCCAACTCTCCAAGTAATCAAAATATTGCCATTATGTTTATTTTTTGTTGAATACAAATATAACAGGTGAGCCTGGGAAGGGCATCATTTGAAATCAGCTTTCCACAAATTATAAATGAATTTATTTAAAAATCCAGGAAGACAGTTGTTTGTGTAGCCAAATGAGCACACAAGCCACTAACTTGAGGAAATTTACGTTTGGAACAAAGAAACTGACCTTGAGACTGCTAATACAAATAACATACAAGACTTTATTCACAAATGTTCCAATAATCTTCCACATCATTAACTCCAAAATAATTTCGAAAAAATTCTACATCAAATTCTTCATTCTGCTCATGTAACTGTTCATTAATTAAACCTTCTATAAGATTCATTAGCTCAAACACTATATTGAACAAATTATCCAGTAAGCTATTATGCAAAATGCACTCAGACATAGTTCAATTTAATTTAGTGTAGTCATCCTGGTTAGAACTTCTAAAATATCTTTCAACAAGGTTATAACTTCTTCAATAAATCTTACTAGATCTACAACTGAGTTCTCTTTTATCACCTTATTATTTTCACACATTATCCATTATACATTGTTAGACTAGAGAGAATAGCATTGAATACTTACAAAGCATATGTATGCTGGAGGTTTTGGATCAACTGTAGGACTGCCATTCTTCTGGTGTATCTTCTTCCTCCTATAGATGCAGGTTCAACTGACCTCTATAACTACCAAAGAGAACTGATTTTGTACCACAAAACTTGATGTTTTATATGTATTTCCATGTATTATTACAATTTATCAAGTAGCATGGCATGTCCAGTTCACAAGTAGGTCCTTCGTTTAATTGGCTTAATTTTGTCAATTCACTGAACCAAAACCAAAACTGGATATGGTCACAACCTGTTAAATGCCTGCCTATTTGCATAAACATAACAAGTTAACATAAACTTTTCTGTAGCCTTTCCCTCTGCTACATTTGCATCTGTTTATGTAGGTAAGACAAACCACTGGTTTGTACTTTTAATGTAGCAATTTGTAAATGCATCTTAGTCAACTTGTATATTTACTGTAACATATACATTTCCTTATTTGGACAAACATATTCACAAACCTTTCATTATACACTCATTAATATGTGCATATCCTTTCTTCAACTGACATGTATCTGTCACGTATACAGAAACCATAATTTTCTCTCCTAGAAACATCTGTAATTTTAATAAAATGCCTCAAATGCTTCACAAAGCTACATAATTGGCTCTGCCCACTGTGGGAATTGAAGCCCAATTTTATAATTTAAGTTTTTTTATTTTTACTTCAAGTTTATTCACTTTTGAACCAACACACCAAGGGTCTCATTCTCACCCTGTTTTTGTAATGGCAAAATTATAATTTTGAACTACTGACTAGAGGGAAGACAACTGATTTGTAGTACCCACTGCCAACTCTCAGACTACTGATTTTTTGTTTCTTTTTTTTAGCTTCTATGAGGGAATGCATGCAATGGTTTGAGGAACACTATACTAATAAATTAAGTATATGTGCATTGAAGAAGTAATGTTGACTATTATTCCAATTTTTATGAAGTGTATCTTCACAAAATGTGGCAAACTTTTATTCAATTTGTACTCAAGAAATTAGATGTTTTACTGAAGTTTTTGTACTAAAGATATGTCTGTGAAATTCCAAAATCTGCCCAACTCAAACTGACATGTCAATGTACAAGGTGATGTCCATTGCATAGTTTGCAAGTTGCATTTGTATATCCTCTAAAAGTCTTTTAAATATGTATCTAAAGTTATTTTCAGTATCCCTATATAATATATCTGGTTGTCAGATTTTAAAAAAATAATATTATTTATATAAGTTCTTTTTGTTCGAAATTAATAACTTTTACTTATATTTCTTAATAATATAAATGTATATACTATGTTGTTGTTGTTGAGCTTAGGATTATTCTACAGTAGGTGTCTGTGACTTGTTAGCGATAAATTCAACAATGAATAAACAGCACACATTTTACTTTTTTACAAATAATGCATATATATTCAGAACAAGTTAAATGTATGTACAACAAAGTCTTCACACTATAGAGATTACAGACATATCATAAACACTATTTATATAGTTCTCTTCTTCTTGTCAAAAGTCCACTTAGGCCTATTCAATTACTTTAGAATTTCAGTTGAGAGGTCAAACTATCTTCTCTATATTACTATCATACTAGTATTCTGTGTGTGATTCACTTACAGTTGGGGTACAAGTTACTGTAATTCGTTTGGTCTTCTTTCGTCGGAAAATCCTCTGTTCCTTTTGTCAAAGTGTACCCAGGCTGATTCAATTACTTTAGAATCACACTTTGACAGAATAAAACTATCCTTCTTATCTTTTTTACATTGTTAGTTTCACTCTAACATATTAAATGTTAGGCCTATGTCAGCCTATCACTTTTACATTACTTAACTTCACACCAACTATATTCTCTTTGATTTTATCTGTCTAAAACTATCTGTCTTCCTGCTCGTCTCACCCTATTTATGTCGTTATTACATAGTCGTCTGGCCACTTTGTATATTCTCGACACCAATTAGTTATTAACAAAACTTTCTACAATTGTCTGCTTTTGACTCTTATAATAACAAAACTTGAAAATAATAAAATATTCACTCACAATTATAAATTAATCACTGATATTTAAACCAAACAATCTTTTATATCATGACACTGGTATTTTCTCTTTTGTATCATAAACTGTTGCAAAATCAGTAATGTACGTTAAAATGAAATATTGATAACTTAGACATCAAATGTATAATACCATGTTGAATGGCACTGTGTGCAAAGTCAAGGAATGCACACTTTGACCCCCACCCATGCACATAGGTTTAATTGGCCCATCAATTAATCGATTAGAAAATACCACTAATGGTCTTGTTCTATTGTTAAGTAATAAATTTACATACAAGTCCAGAGGGTATTCAGAAAGAAACAATATTTTATTTCCTGTAGGCCAGTCATATCAGATTACAACCAAAAACGTATTCCAGTGATGTTGAGGGTGTGAACAGACATTATGTTGCATTTTTTTTATTGTTTCTTACTCTTCATCATACTACTTCTGTAAAGTGAAAGTAAGGTGTTAAAAATCAAATTGTGTACACCTGTTTAAATAATGGAAGGGTTGCAAACTATCTTTGAAAAAACCCATAAAAGATTAAAATCACAAAGAGCAAGGTCAGGACACTTGTCAAAATCACAAAGAGCAAGGTCAGGTTTGACAAGTGTCAAACTTCTCAATTACAGTTGTTGTTGCATATTATTTAAAATCAGTGTCCCTCTTGGTTGCCATTTTGTAATGTTGTTGCACACCATTTATTTGTAAACATAACATATGGTGATGCATGTAATGACCTAATAACTTGGTTACTTATTTAGGAGTGTAGCTAACACTACAAAGTGGGGGAGGTTCCTTCCAAAAAAAATATGAGCCTTTTCTTCTATACAAAGAATGTAAGTGATTTATGTTATGCAAGTGTTTACTTGTAAAATCAGGAAATTGTGGACCTTTTAGAATATTGGGGTAGTTGTTTGACCACCATCTCCACCAATCCCCAGTTATGCCCCTGTCATTAGCTGCAATTTATTCATATTCAATGTATAAGAAAGAAATTCATCTTATTCCATAAAAAACCCTCATTTTTGAGTCAACACATTAGAAATTGAGAAGATTACTAAAGTTTACAGGTTTTTGAAGATCTCAGAGAAACCTATAAATGGTTAAAATTATTATATAATCTGCTAGAGTTTTGCAATTAGTACAAAATCCTGAACTTCTCAAAAATGAATGCAATTTTTTGCTACTTTGTTGTTTTATTGTGATGTTTTATGTAGATCATGTCTGTATTCCTGGAGGGATTAGAAAGTGATGATCCACAGATACGTCAAGGTTCTTGTTGTGCACTGGGAGCTCTGAAGGTAAGTTACTTATTGTTGCTTATATGTAGTTTGCTTGTGGTACTAAGAAATCAATATTAAAAATTACCTGAATTACAAAATAAAATTTATAACCTGAACATTTTTGCAAGGAAAAACCATCCTTCTTCAAGGGTAAATTGATCCCTAGTTTCCACCTCAAGAGGAATACCTTCCTTCCAAAAGTGCTTGAGTTGGGTTTCTTATGTAGCATGTTAGATTATTGTTGGATATTTTTTAAGGAGAGCAGACTTTTACTGGAGTTGTTCTAAATCTAATCTATATTTATAGATTCATATACTTACATAAAACATTAGTCATGTAATAATATTCTTCTCCTTTGTGTAATAGTGAAAAAAATATTAAAAGCACAAGAACTACAAAACAGTCTAAACAAAATTTATCTTATTCACAATGTTTAAATTTAGTAATCTCTTTTAAGCAAGATAATTTCATAACTTAATTATTTTTTTCCTTAGCTTTAGATGTTCACTGATGAGGTAGACATTTTGCACATGGGATAAATATTGCATTTGTAATTAAGTGTCTTCAGAAGAAAAAAAAACAATGACTGACTGTTCTAATCCAAGTATTTTTTACGTATTTTCAGGCTACTGAACATATTGAGTTGCTAGTATACCTGTCTCACATGGATGAAAATTTGTTAGTACAACAACAAGCAAAAAAGACTCTCTTTACATTTGGTAAGTTTTCCTGCAGCAGTAGCTTGTTCATGAGAGCAATAAAAATAACCATGTAGCATTGAAAACTATTTAATAAGAAAATTCTGATTTCATGAAATAGAAATTTTAAATATTTGAAAATTCCTATTAGCAATATGGAATTACTGTTTTTAGTTGCATCAGAATTGTACTCCTAAAACATCAGAATCATTATCTTCAAAACAAAAATTCCAATTTCAAGGTTATTAGTGAATGAAGGGGAAAGTGCTGCTTTAGCATTCATTGTAAAGAGTTGCCTTTGATGCATGCTAATTATAATGAAGAATTTTATTGTCAGAAACATATGAGCTGTTAATTTTTATTATTTTAGTGATTTATTTAGTTTCTTCATGTATTGAATCCTGGAGCAATAGAAGGAATGAAAAATACTTTTAAAGTGATATTTCGTAGTTCATATATATAAATACCCATGTTAAATGTAATCCAACAAAACAGTTGTCTGTCACACTAGATTATGAAAATTTTATTCTTAGGATTTACTGTGAAAACTGGAGAACATTTTTTTTCTATGTTGAATTAACTTCCAGACCAATTCATCATGTGAAATATTATTTTGTGACATGCTTATTATTAATTAAATTCATAATCAATCTTCTTAACTACATTTTAGCTTTATACTGAAAAATTCAAAGAAACATTTATGCCATGGTTATTAACTATTTGTCCATCATGGTGCAGGTCAAATTGGCTCAAGATTGCTTCTAGTCTGAATTTTAGTTCCTTTGGAAAATTATGAATATTTGAGTGGACTTTTGAAAGTCAAACATCTCTGTTCTGTACTGGAAGTATAACCGGTATAAATTTTTAATCACAAAAATAATGCATATTATTAGAAAAATAGTGTTGAGTGTCTCACCTGATCATATTAATTTTCTACACAGTGATTGATAAATATTTATTCATGTTAAATATATTGCCTAATAGATAGCTAATTTTATACATTTTGCTTGATGAAGCATTATTATCTGGAATTCAGTACATGGCTTAATGAATTTTATTTTTATTGCTTGATAAATTGCTATTATCCAGTGATCCTTTTATCTTGTATCAATAGATAATTTCATGCACTCTGTGGAATCAATAATCTTGTTTTAAATGTGTGGCCTAATGGTTGATTTGTTTAAAGAAAAAAAAAACTTAAGGAGAAGTGGAAAACTGAATTTGTTTGGTGCAAAGTTAGATTGATATTTGTTTTTACTGCCACAAATCTTTAACTGTTACTCATCCTCTGCTACATTATTAACTATTAACAGTACTGAAGTTTCGTATTTAATAGCAATGTTACGTATTGAGAATTTGAAATAATCCAAGGCCACAATAAATAATTTAACGTTTAATTGTTGAATTGTACCCTGGATTTAGTGTTTAGAAATATGCCGGTATTTAACTTAATTTACGCCATTTGCCAACAAGCTTGATTCACACCATTTTTGTTTTGAAACAAATACATTTTAATATATATATATACAACACTATAATTTACATTAGCAACTATTATAATTAATCGTTACAAACAAAGTTTTATAGACAGAAATTTCACTAACTTACAAATAGCTTAAAACCATCTTCCTAGTTCAGAGTCTCCTTGATATCCAGCGAGTTGTACATATATAATTTGGCAGGAAGCTAGCTAGCTTTGTCAGGCACTGAATTGTTGGACCGTTGACGTAAGATAATATTTTCACAAAATCACTAATGTCCGATGAGAAATTAGTAATATTCTTGGAGAGATATTAAAGTTTGATGGGAATTCACTGACGTTTAAAATTTATAACTGTTCCTGGTCAAATGTCATATATTTTCCAGTTGATAAGGGTTAATGAAATCACAGTTTATAGCTTACACAGTAATAACAGTTTCATAGTAGGCCTATCTCTTCTCTGTTGTTTTTTGGCGCAATGCCCTGCTATTTTATAGGCTAGACACATCTTCTAGAACCTTCTGATAACACCAGATACCGAAATGGATAATATTGTTGATTCTTGTTCACAAATGTTCTACAATCTTGGAGAATTGGCGGGAATTTCGCCATACATAACTAACATGGTGAGCTAAACACAAATTTGTTATACGAAACACATATCTGATACTACAAGTTACACATATTTCTAAATACAAATTCAATCCAAACAATGTTCATTTTAAAAATAAATACATTATAATAAATTCGTTACAGCAAGAATAGGTTATGTTGGTTAATGTTGAGTAATATTAGATGCATTTCCAAATTCTATTAGTGGGTATGTTTTTTTATATGACTTGATAATGGATCCTACATACATATTTATGCAGCAAGGATTGGAAATATATCATTAAAATGAAATAAAATTATTATTCTGTTAACTGACTCTAAAATACATAATTTGCATTTGTGAATATACTATTCCTAGAAAGAAAGATGTCTTCATTTTCATACATATTTATACTGCTTTTATAGGGTTTGATAAATCATTATCTAACCTAGCATGGAATCATATTATAATATTTACCTTTCAGGAGAAGATGGAAAAAGAGCTTATGAACAATGTCAGCTTTTCACAGAAGGATTTCAAGGACTTAATGTAAAGTGATAGTTATTTTTGGTGCTATGAATATTCAGTAAAATGTTTTTCTCTCTTAAGTCTGACAAATATCTGACCTTATTGAGTGGCTGTCAAGACATTTCTTTATGCTTTCTGAAAAAAGCAAACAAATGCACATTTTAAATGTATGTATACAAGCTGAAGTAAGACTAGCCTACACGTAGAATGAGTGTAACCATTGGAGCCTCAACTTGCTTGCATGATGATTATGCCAAAGACACCCTTTTAAGCTTGTGTTGTGTTGAAGCCAAAGAAATAATGTGATATACCTTCATGACAATAAGTAATACCTCTGACAGTCAGCTGTTTCATACATTACAACTAATTAATAAATTGGGATGCAGCTAAAAAGTTGGATTTGTCCCAAAAACCAAAGAGTTCTCTTTCATTATGCAAAAAACATCCTTAGAATAAAGATTTAATATTGTATAAATAATAGCCAAGTATGAGGTTTATGTCAAATAGAAATTCATGATGATCACATTAAGTATTCTTATTATTTGTAATGATCTGAACAAATATGACAGAAATATGTACCATTTATGCAAATAAGATCATTAGAAGTTTTCAGAGATCTTTAAACTATTTAAATATGATCTAGAAATTTCCATGTATTTGTTGTGTATATATATATATATATATATATATATA